TGTAGCGGTGTCTTTAAACTCCCCCGCGTCCCCTCCAGCAGATCTCTTGTCGGTGGTGCTCGCAGGAACGTCGGAAGGCGAAGGATCGCCGCCCGACAGGGTTTGGTCTACCACATCGTGGCTGCTCTGCTCTGCCATAACAATTCTTGAGTCTGTGAGGCCAACAGGTTGCGACATCTGTTAGACAAATGTTCTGAAACTGTAAACACGGAAACAAGTGGCGACTGTAATCCTGAACTTATGAATGCATGAGAAGGGACGGGCTGAGAATATACCTATGGTCAGGTATCAAGAATCGCCACGGTTGAACTGTAAGCTCAACTACTTGAGCCGTAAAAGCTCCGAACGACCAGGTGGACGGCGGAGAGGGGACCAGTGTTAGGAGGCTGGTAACCAAGTGAATGTCGAGGCAGAAGGGCGGGGGCGTGAGAAGGCTGGCAGTATTATGGTAGAAGGCCGCTGCCCAGAGAGAGAGTCCCGAAAGGGAGGTTCGTGACGAAGGAGGTGGTGCTTCTCGGGATGGTGATCGGGTGATGGCTGCAGTCATGGACGATGACTTGACGGTTCAGGTTGAGGCACTAAGGCGGGCTGCTTTCGGTTAGCGCGCTGGCCTCCCGCAAACCCTGTGGCTGGAGCCGCGCTGGAGTTACTTACTCTCTTCGCGAACCGAACTGCTGCTGTGCTTTGCTTCTGGGCCGATTCAACCTTGCCCACAACCCCCTGGAGAAGGGGGAAGAAAAAAGGACCAACTTATTTTTAGGGGTCCCATTAACTCCTTTCCTATTCACCGGTGCTGTTATTCACTCTATTAGAAAAATATACTCTACTGTTTCGGAGACCCTCCCTTGACAGGTGTATCGACCTGCCGAAACGGCACCGGACCGCATTCCCGGAGTACTAGCTTCCTGCCCCAGCAAGGAAAATGCTACTGTTTTCGACCAGCTCCAAGAAGGAAACTGGCAAAAAGTTTCATAATGTACAAACTGACTGTCGAGTCTTCCTGGCATAACTTCACCACCGGATCTGGTGACTATGGTAGCATCGACATGGTCAAAGGGGCACTAACAATGCAGGCACCATAGGCTACTGCGGACTACCCAAATTGCGGCCTATCCTACTAATCATTTATAGGAACCAAACGGAATACATTGGTCGATCTGGACCTGATTTAAGTCGTCTCCATTGAACTAAATAGTCAGCATCTACAAACAGGTCTTCTTAATGGAGATGCTACATCCTTTCCACATATACTCGTCTGTGTCTTAGCCGGGTCACTAAAGCGGGCGCCTCTGACCCAAAACAAATCTGTTGCCCATGTGCGCTATGACTCCGAGACAGATTATCAGACTTTGGCCATTACCTGGCCCATTTGCACGCGAACAGGCTTGCCCATGCGCCGTTCGGGTTGCTAGTATGTTTGGAATCATGTTGTCCGACGAAGTAACTCACGGTGCTAGCTGATGGTCTCTGCTTAATCCGTCAGCGCTGCCTGATGGCAAATCTACTAGCACATGTCGAAACCTGGAATCTGAGAAGGAAAGCATAGCGTCTTGAATACCTGATACGATTTGCCATTGCGTATGCTGTGACTAACAACTTCCGGGGAATTTCTGGGCACATCGTTTCATGAAAGCACACAATCACGAATGGTTATAGCTGTTCGCCTGATGAAAGTGACGCTCGATCTGAGCCTGTTGAGTATGAAAATGGTTCTAGCACTTGACCGTTAGCGACATCTGGTCTAGCAGTGTAGTGGTAGCCTTGCCAAGGGAACATTTCTCTGTGGAATAGGAGACCCGTTAGAAAAAGTAGGAAAAGGGGAGGATTCATAGACACGAACAAGTAAGTAACTTTCAGTTACTAGACCTATATAGTTCACTCGCCATCCTAGTAAGTAGCAGTCGACGATGTATCACTAGTATGGTAAATTTTAGGCGCAGCGTAGGATCTAGTATAGACATTGAATCTGGCCTGCACGTCACTGATAGCACGATAAGGGTAAATCACTGGGGATGGAGAACTAATCTACATATAGCAAGTGAAGAACGACGGGGGACAGTCTTCATCGGGCGGAGGCTGATATTAGCACCTAAATACTATATCCACTGCGGGGAATCGAACGAAGATGGGTACTATCCAGAGATACAAATATTATCGTAAATCAGCCCTACATGTACATGTTCGATATGGCTTTCGGATAGACAGGCTACATCTAACGTCCCAGGCTTAAACTCGAAGAGGGCCAAAACTACTCCATACGTCACTCGTCGTCCCAGGCATACAGTTGCGTATCGTAGATACCATGTTGTAGGGTTTAAAGAATCGGGTGGCGGGTTTAAAGGTTGAGAGAGCGTGCTGGGTTTATCAAGTCTATGTTGTGTCGTAGAAGCCATATTCGCAGATTTTTCGGTAGTTGGCAAAACGCATGGATATCATTTTTCGAACAGGGAAATGGAAATTTTGTTTTTTCTTTCATTCCGGGGAATCTATGCACAGGATTTAGATGTGATAGAACATCTGGGAACCCTCTGTTTCGCTTCGTCTCATTGCAAAGGCCCACCCTAAGTTTGAAAAACCCAGAAACACCAAACAACCGCATCGACCGTTTTTGATTCGTTTAGATGTGGGTGTCGTAGGGGATGGGGGTGATGGTCTCGGCAGCGGTACCCTCGACGAGGTGAGCCTCACGGGGCATGAGGGGCTGACGCTTCAGGTGGAGGTGGACACCCTGCTCCTTAGCCTGGCGCTTCTTCTGGGCGTTCTCCTTGACACGCTTGATGAAGTCCTCACGGGAGCGGGAGTGCTTGACGTGCTCGATGCGGACGTTGATGCGCTTCTCGAGGTAGCGGTTGCGGACGACCTTGTAGAGGAGGACACCGACGGAGGACTTGGTCACGTTGTAGACGACACCGGTCTTACCGTTGTAGACCTTGTAGGGCATACTATTTCCAAATGTCTCAGCAAACCAATTATTCGTTCAAAGTTTTCGAGAATCCCAACACGCAAAATCCTTCATGTCGGAATCCCATTTCAACCGGGCGGAATTTGTACTGACCCCTTCTGAACGGCACCGTTGACCTTGATATCGACAATGTCGCCAACCCTAAGAAAATATCAGATCCTGCTCCTTCACGCAAATATTATCCAAATCGGCGAGAATTTTCGGCGTACCGGTAGGTCTTCAGGTAGGTCGACAGGCGAATCTGGCCGTTCTCCTTGAAGTTACGGCTGAAGGCATACTGAAAAGTTCGTCAGCGGTCGCGTTTCGGGCCAGCGAAATGGTGCTGCAAAATTTCCTGGGTAAAATCGACATACCCGAGTACCGGCTCTCAAACCGTGCGAGTGACCCATGTCGGCGGTGTTGGTGGTGCTGGTGTTGAGAACTTGTCGACGTCGAAGAAATGCCTCGCTATGCCGCCCTTCGCGATGGTGTAGACTTCTCGGGTGCTTAGTGCGGCCGTTCTCCGCCGCCGAGGGCTAGCCCTTGCGCTAGTCCGCTTCCGGCTCCACCTTCGCTCGCTTAGTTCCCTTCTCCAAAACGCATCTTCAACTTCAGATCTTCCGCGATTTTCGTGAAGTTTGGTGTGTACGACAACCTCGCGACAAGCCGAAATCAGCAGTCATGGCCCCCGTCCCGTGAGTATACGACCAGCGATCAGCTACACCTGTATCGCATCATTCTAATGGCAATTTTCTCAACAGCCGCGTTTACTCCAAGACCTACAAGGTCCCCCGTCGTCGTAAGTAGCCTTATCAGTCTTTGCAAAAATTCGATAACTTTGCGACATGGAATTTATACTAACATGTTGATATAGCTTTCGAGTCGGCCCGTCTGTTAGTACTCTCCGGCCACTGATCAGAAGCGTGCTTCTTTTTAAGTCGTGTGTTCCCATGCCTAACTGTCATCGCTAGTGACTCGGAACTGAAGATTGTCGGCGAGTACGGCCTGCGCAACAAGCGTGAGGTGTGGCGTGTCCAGCTCACCCTGTCCAAGATTCGTCGTGCTGCTCGGTATGCGCACCCCACTTCGCATGGATCATCGACTTTGAGAATGGCCAAGAGAAAGTGATGGAACAATGGCTGACTGTTGGAACAGTGAGCTCCTCACCCTCGACGAGAAGGACCCCAAGCGTCTTTTCGAAGGTAACGCTTTGATTCGCCGTCTGGTCCGCATCGGTGTCCTCGATGAGTCTCGCATGAAGCTCGATTACGTCCTGGCCCTCCGCGTTGAGGACTTCTTGGAGCGTCGTCTTCAGACTTGCGTCTACAAGCTCGGTCTTGCCAAGTCCATCCACCACGCCCGTGTCCTGATCAAGCAGCGTCACATCCGGTATGCGCAACCAATAACCCCTCGGCCCAAGGACGCCCCAAGTTACTAACCTTGATAATAGTGTCGGCAAGCAGATCGTCAACGTCCCCTCCTACATGGTCCGCCTGGATTCCCAGAAGCACATCGACTTCGCCCTTACCTCCCCCTACGGTGGTGGCCGCCCTGGCCGTGTCCAGCGCAAGAAGGCTGCCGCTGCTGCCGGTGGTGGTGACGACGAGGCTGAGGAGGACGAGGAGTAAAGGATTAAAAATTGGAGTACGGACGGGTTTCGTTAGCCAAAATAAAATCACGGGGCTCCGTTATGGCTGCAGCATAGCGTATAACGTTGTACGATCATGCGATTCCATTAATGAACTAGTAGCCTACGGCTCGATTCCCATACCATTTGGTTCCCTAGTCGTAGTAATCCCTGAACACTGAACACCGAAGTAATCATGTATGGCTTATCCACCGCAAACGCCATGTCCCTAGACCCAGTATCGTCAAATCATGCCTACGCCTAGTGCCCTCATCCTGTAACGCCTAGAAGGTTTTTGAGAGTTTCTTCCGCGCTCCGGTACCATCTTCCCGTCTCCACCAGCCCGTCACTTTCGCCTTCCTCCTTCTTTCTTTTAATCTCTTGGGCCTGTGCGATCGCTTCTGTCTTCCGCCGTTCTAGAATACCCAATTCACGCTCCACCGCCTCGGCCTCTCGTGTCTTGCGGGGCAGGGTGTTCTGCACCGCAGCAAGTTGTCGATCAAGAGCCGCAAGCTCCGCCTCCCGCTCAGACAGGAGACTCAGCGTTGCAGGAAGGGGGAGGTTTTGCGATTCTGGGCCGTTTGCGTCTGATCCTTGTTTTGCACGTAGCTCGGCAACAGTGGATTCGAGGTTTTCAATCGACTCTGGAAGTGTTGAGAGTTGGGTCATTTGTAGCTGGACATTCTTGTAACCTGTTGAAAGATTTTCCATCGTTAGGACAGTCGTTGATATGGTCACGAAGCGAAGCTCCACGGACCTAAGTCATTACTGTACAGAAGACAAGGGAGTACTCACGATTCGCCAGATCCCTACCCAGCTTCTCCATCTCCTCCACCATAGTTCGGACTTCTTCTTTGCGAGCCTTGAGGTCCGCCTTTATTTCCGCCAACTGCGCTTCCATCTCAACATTTTCATTGTGACCGACCACCAAGGGCGGATCGCCCACAATCGCACGCAGGAATTTCTCCTTCGTAACTTGCTCAACGTAGGAAAAGCGTAACTTCGAGAACAATTCCTTTCCGAGTATTGTCAGCACGAATAGGTGGTCTTATAGAGCGACCCCACTTCGGGAGAATTTGTTCATACTTTATAGTGTGTCAAGTCCGCTTCCAAGGAAGCAGGTGTCGGTGTTTCAAAGGTAGATACATCTGACCTACGCTTAGATGGTGATGAGCGCCTGGTATCAGAGTCAGGGGAGAAGATCGGCTCGCTGATGCGGAGGATGTTCAATTGTGTTTTCAAGTCGCCATTGTCGTCTGCTAGTTGCTGCAGTTGCTTTCGTGCTTCTGCGGGTGTTAAACTGGCCATTGTATCCTTGATAGATCTGTAAAATCCCTCAATAACCCAATATAGTCAATTTCAATGGCAGTGTAAGGGTGGATCTATCGCGTCTTGGAATCAATGGGATGAGGGGTGAAGGCAAAAACCATTCATTATCGCGCGTCGGCAGAAACATTGCGGAGGTAAACAGATTCATCGGACCCACCACTTTATCAGCCGGGCGGTGAAGTCACCGGTCAGCAGCGTCAATATCGCCGCATGTATGGCTCTTGCCTCCCACATTTGTAGACTTGGCCGCGCTTTCCTTTCTCTCTATATATTCACTTTCGGATTGGATGATACAATTACCGGATGGGCGTTATATATTAATATGATATAAATATTTTAACTTCCCTACTTCTATTCTCCCACCTTTGCTCCAGTCCCACGGTCCGACAGCATGCCTCCCAACACCGGAAAAGCAATCGGCGACCCCAGCGACGATGCCTACGTTGCACAGGTGCTCGCACGAGAGGCACGGGATAGCTCCCTGAGATACTCGGCACATGGATTGGAAGCATACATGCCCAAAAGGTATATACTTTCTCTGGCGAATACTTTACGACGATCATTGAGCTGACAATTTATTGCTGCAGGCCTACAGGCGCCGCTCCTAAACCGAACACACGATTTCTCCGACATATAATCCGAGAGACGGACAATCACAATACAGCATTGAAACGGAAAGAAGAACGGGAGGCCAGGGAACGAATGCGACAGTTGCGGAACCAGGCGTCATCCTCTTCAGCGAACGATACGAATCGCGATCAACGTCGCAGTCGGCGTACGTCAACCGATCGAGAGCCGCGACGCGATAGAAGACGGGATCGTGAGGACAGATATGGCTCTAGCCGAAGGAAACATAGGAGTCGCTCTGCATCGGAGGAGAGAGGCCAATCGCATAGGAGCCGACGGAGGCGTGACCCTCAAGATACCGATGACGACCGGCATAGATCCTCGAGAAGGAGTCGTCGCCACCGATCTGATTCTCGTTCAAGGAGTCGATCCCCGGAACACGGCCGGAATGTTGATTCTCGCAGCCATCGCCGACGATATCGCAACCGCCATGAGTCGTCACCATCACGTTCGCGGTCCCCAGGAGCATCTGACAGGCGCAGGACTAGAGATAGCGAGCGCAGGGGTCACCGCATTTCTCGTGATAAGGAACTGTCTAGAAGAAATAGTACATCGACAAGCAAAGAACAAACGTTTACTCATGCACAATTCAAGGAGGAAACGCCTTTGGATGATGAGTCGGATCCTCTTGAAGACCTTGTCGGACCCCTACCGGCGAAAGATAACGATCATGGGTATTCAGCGCCCATTCGTTCCCGCGGTCGCGGTGCCTACAAACCCAACATGAGCAACATCGATGCACACTTTGCCCCTGACTACGACCCCACTACGGATGTACATTTGGAGGATGATGATGGGCAGGTAGGTAGCAGGCCTACCCGCCGTCCTGTCGCTGGTCTAATGACTGGAGATGACGACTGGGAACTTTCTCTGGAGGCGTTGCGTGATCGGGCAAAATGGAAGCAGAGGGGCGAGGAGAGGTTGCGGGAAGCTGGCTTCAGTAACGAATTTGTGGACCGTTGGAAGAGCAACACTACCTCCACGCCAGGGGATGACTCAGAAGGCAGGCTAGAGGATGTGAAGTGGTCTAAGAAGGGTGAGGGGCGAGAGTGGGATCGGGGCAAGTTTGTTGATCAGGATGGGCATATTGACGTTAAAGCTTCCTGGTGATATCAGTTGATCTTGGGGGTCTTTACATATCTATCATATTGTGAATCACAGCTCCCTGGCGTTATATAGATTACTTTCTTACAATGATATCCACTGATACGGGCCAGTAGCTTGTATCTGTTCTTCAAGCATTGATAGCACTAAAGCCAATCTCTAATTAGCCTGTAGTACTAGTAGTAATCACTATAGATTAAATCAGCTGTGGGGTGTGGTCTAAATAAATGCAGGCCTTTATCAGAACGCTAGGGAAATATATTTGAATCCCGAAGGATTCTCAAGCTGCATACCAACCACTCTAAGTGTAAGTAGCTATGCATCTTACAATAATGCCGACTTAAAGCCCAACATTCCTCGAATAGAAACATAAATAAACGCTGCTCTCTTTTTTCCTATCACTCTATAGTATACTGCTCCCCCATAAAACTCTATTTTCCTCAGGCACAAAACAACGGGTCTACACGCCAAGACAAGCCCCTCACCCAGTTCCGCACTTTTGTCATAAGTGCGGAATATCGCAATACTGTTGCATAATCACCTGAAAATGGCCTCATCGCTGGTAACAATGAGTGGAGAAGACCCGACGCTCTTTGTGGCACAGTCCAAGACTTGATTGGTAAGACATTAGACAGACGTATTGGGGTCTTTCTGGTCATAGTTGATTGGTATATGTTGTCGCCGCTATCCGATGGCGGAACTTGGTAGTACTGTCAGATATGGACTCGGATAGCAGCTGATTTTCTCACCATCGTTCTGCTTGAAAATACTACTACATTTACTATCAGACAACGTCTAGAGTATTAGAGGATTATCAACCGCACCCTGCAGATTGGGTTAAAGGCTGCTTAAAGCGGCAATTGATCAAATCACTGTCTTTAATCAGCCCTCCACACGCGGAGCAGGCACATCTCATTTGTGTACCTCCGACGACGCCTGAATTCAAATGACGGACCAGTTTGCATATTCGTATCCCTCGCCGTTAGAGGGATATGAGAACCTAGAACCGCTATCTGAGTAAGTAAGGTGAAATATTGATTCAGATAGATGAATGGATGATGTATTGTTTTACGCGTTGAGCCTAACCCGTGTCATGGTACAGAGAGAGAAACGAGGATGGAAAGTCCTTAAGAAACCCCCAACATGGGATTCTGAGTAAGGCATACGAGGAGTTCCCGGACCCTATCACCAAGGGTCGTCAAGGGGGCTTCGATATTCATATCTATCACTTCCAGGTTCGTGGATACTTGTGTACTGAGCATCATAGTTTCCTGGCTGACTTTGCATCATAAAAGAACAATCCAGATCAGGTCACTTTTGCGAGAGCTCTGTGGGAGAGGATCAGGCGTGAATGTGAGTATTATTCCCTTTCCAAAATAGCGGTTTAATACTCGTGTAGTCACAATACTGACTTGAGTAGTTCCCGAGTTACGAATTTATCAGTTCTTCGACAGACCGATAGGGCCTCATCCAGTGGCCATGTTCGAAGTTAACCTTTTCACTCCTGCACAGTTTGGTGCCTTTGTGCCCTGGCTTGTTGTCAATCGGGGACCCTTGAGTGCACTGATCCATCCGAATACGGTGGAAACTGAGGAAGAGCGTAATCACACCCAACGTGCTACTTGGCTGGGTGAAAGAATACCTCTCGATTTACGGTTATTCAAGTTGATGAAAGAGGCACAGAAGAGAAAGGAGCTTGAGGCGGAGAAGAAGGCGGCGGCAGAAGAGAAGTTATGATAACGGTTCTCTGTTGATCCGTGCTCACTTCGGGATGGTGTTGGCTTCTATGTAGTCAGTCGTATTGACTTGGTTGACTTCGACAATTTGAACCCGGAATGGGCGCTAAGAAGGCTTGTCTATATTTGATATCCAATAACATGTTAGCATATGAGTATTCTCTAGACCTGAGCGAGTGAGGGGTATTCGTAAGGCTAACAAAACTTTTGCATAGACCACGAACTATGCGCCGTTCCATGCACGATGCACCCAAATAACCCCCCTCGGTGAGGTGGTATATGCCTGTATGTTTTGAGAAGCAAGGAACTTGGCATGGGTTGAAAAGCGCATACTTGACTGGTTACAGACAGCATCACGGGACCTGGCCGGAGCAGAGTGTGACCGGACGATCACATTCATCTATGATCCCAAACAAGGGCCCATCAGATGCACCACTCCAAATCATGCTTATCGTAAAACAACTCATTCGCAACCAATATCGCTGCAGAATGCTTCGGACCCTGGGACTACCCCTGCAATGAAGATCGCAGGTGGGAGAGGAGACGGCCACATCTGTTTCTGCAGCCAGTACTTGACACGGGGCTAAGGAAAAAGCAATGATTTGCCTTCTTCTGGCTCATCACCTGCCACAATCCCCGGACTAGCCTTACCAGTGAGGGTGGAACAGAATCCATGCCCAGCAATGACCCTCGACATGGAAGTGTCAGAAGGTCAGAAAGACATTGGCTCGCAGGCTGTACCACACCGTGTGGCGGGTCTCATATTTTCTACACCTGATATGCACCTCTGCGATATAACATCGCTACTACGCTGCTGGCTACAGTTCGGGACAACCCTGCTGTGCGTTATCTGCACTTGCGCCTTCTATAGTGGAAACAGCTCTCTCTACATTAAGTTACACTTCTTGACAGAGAAATCAATGACGGTTGACCAGTCAACATGTGGACTTTCCCAGTGCAGTTCTTCTCCACTGTGCTGCAGTTACGCCTGTCAATGACCAAGCCCAACGAGACGATCGTGGCCTACAATCTGACATCACCCGCTTTGCCATGCTATGTAATGGACTATGGTAAGCAAGTTCTAGGATATCTACTAACCCCACTGTTCTAAGTCATATCCAGCACCACTCGTCTGGCTATATAGCAAGGAAACATACATGCCTTCGGATATCGGACAGCAGCTTATACACACGATACCAATGGTGAATTATACTACAATTCAAGGAGCACCATCACCGTTAACACTCAATAACCTCGCGGAACTCAACAAGTTGGGAAACACCAGCGTCTACCTAACCTCAATAGAGGGCATCGATGCTACTCCAGAGCCAGCATGGTTTCGTGGAGTGACGCCAGATACAAATGGAAAGACGGATGGAGCTGTCTCATCTACAATAATCACTCGTGATCATGGAAATGGTACCGTAGATGCGTTCTACTTTTACTTCTATGCGTAAGTGATCCGTGGTACTTAGAGCGAGCTACAGCCCATGCTGAATATATGAAAGGTACAATATGGGAAACACAGTATTGGGAATGCAGTTTGGAGACCACGTCGGTGACTGGTGCGCAATACCTCTAAATCTCTCTACATCAATTCCCAACTGATATCCCTAGGGAGCACAACATGATTCGCTTTGATAACGGAGTCCCACAAGCAATCTGGTACAGCCAACATGCTGGAGGTGAAGCCTTCACCTACGACGCAACAGAGAAGCAAGGCAAAAGACCGATCGCATACTCCGCTAATGGCTCTCATGCCGTATATGCAGTACCTGGGTACGTATGAACTTGCCCCTAGAGAGCATTATAATATCGGCCTTCCCCAGAAAAACATCTATAACTAAAACAACATATGATAACCTAATGAAATACATAGCACCCATGACCATGCCATCCCCCACCTCAACCTCCCCTTCGGCTTCGTTATGGACTACACAGACAGAGGAACCCTATGGGATCCCATCGCAAACGCATACGCATATAGCTTCGACGCAGCCAGCCAGACATTCCAGCCCTACGACCGCAGATATCCAGCCAACTGGCTAGAGTTCAATGGGCAGTGGGGAGACGACGCATTGCCGGGGGGACCGGAGCTCTTTGGACAAGCGAAATACAGTGCGGGCCCGAATGGGCCTAAATTCAAACACCTTGTCAGGTCGACTGTTTGTCCGGATAGTCCTTGCGTCGTGCTGCCTTTTCGTATTTGGGATGATGAGGATGGTGAGATGATGTAGAGAGGGTGGTAGTGTTTTTTTTTTCTTTCATTTTTGTTTATACAAACCATTTTGTTGATTGGATACAGTGGCATAAACCGTTGAGAACGGGGAGGGGGACGATCAGAGGACAGAGAGAAGGAAGTGGATATATGTGGAGATCGGAATACAGGACGGAGTACTTTGTAAGACAGGGTACACACCACTGTGTGGGATTGTGGGTTAGATTGTTATGTGTGTGTGTGTTTACAAGTCAGCCTCCTGGGAGATTGATCATCTGATGTTCTGATTACGGCTGCTTTTTGCTGCATTCAGTACAGATTCACATTCCCACTGCAGGGCAAGAGGGAGGAGTACTGACTAGATAGAACGCAAATTTGGGACTCACACCAACTAGTCTGTATTACAGAAGCTTTTATGGTAGAATGGTCTAGGGATGTTCTTCCATCAAGTATTTACTGTAGGCCATGCTTACTTCCTAGTTCTTGGGTTTGGCTGTTCCTGATAGGGAGTGGTCCGACAGCAACCTCTAACAACTCAGGGGCTGACCGGCACGAGCAGGCGGATGAGCACGGGAACATGGGCAAATTTGGGAGGGAGTAAGCTGATTGCTCATTGCTGGGCTGCCAGTAATCGTTTAATAACAGTATTGTTATTACCCGACCACGTAAGGTTTTCCGACTATACTGGATTGAGGGGTTGCCTCCCCGCACTAAGAAAAGGGGCGGTTTTGTGTGTGTCTGTCTTGTCTGTTTTGCTGTCTAGAGGTATCGGGAAGAACCGAAATGCCGAACTGTTCCTGTCGCCCCTTTTTTGATAGGATATTTACTATATCTCTATGTGAGTGATTATCTGTTGTATTCTAAAGCAGTCGGACAAAGTCTGATCGGCATGCTGGGACAGGAGATACATATGATCGCAGAGTGACGACAGTAGGAATGGATGCATGCCATATGCAACCAGAATCTGGTGGTGGACTCAAGGGATGGGATGACAGTCGATAGCACGGAGTACCCACGTGTGGATGGAGTTTTGATCACCGCCTGATCCAGCATGAGAATGTATCCAATCCGTGTCTATCGGCTAGACACTACTGAATTGGTTCCGGTCTAACTTCTAGACCACCGAGTAGTTATCTAACTACCCCAATTCTGGCTGACTCCGTTAAGGAAGTAGTTAGTTAGTAAACTTACTGCACGAGCGTTGAGATATGGGTGTTGGGGAAGATCATTCATTATTCAGGCAGTTGTGGCTCCCTCCTCCATCTGGACGTTCTCCGTCGGTACAGTGGATTTGATCGGCCTTTTTCTTTCCAGACTGCCCTTGGTATTTTCCGTAAGGTGTTAGCATTCCAACCGAAACAAAGCAGAGAAGAGATATGATGCAGATATCATTCCAAATTAAGCTGACCTCGCCCCCCTCCCCTATGACCCCCCCGGTTATACCAACGCACACGGTGTCGTACTTACTGCATTGGAAAGACGTGGACTGAAATCGCTAAACGGGCTGCCCCTCCAGTGTGCGAGCCAAAGTTTCCCAGCTTAGCCATCCGGCCCTAGACCAAGTCGGGAGTAGAAGCAACCTAAGTAGCAACCTAATACATTCGGAGAGCGTGCTGAGTGGGGGAGAATGGGAAAGGTCGAGCTCCCCTGCTGGCTGCCGTTTTGCCCCTGAATTTCATCCAGCTCCAAAAAAGCTTCCCGAGCTGCTTCTCCGCCTGAACGAGACGACGAGGTGCAGCGATAAAAGAAATTAAAGAAAAGGGAAAAAAAAAGAAAAGCATAAAAAAAGAAAGGGAGTAACAACAACAACAACAACAACAACAACAACAACACCAACAAAAGGGTATCGGAGAACTCAGCAAGCTCTGAGACTCCCAACGAACAGTGACAGGAAAGTGAGAGGTCAAGTCAATTGGGTCTTTTTGTTTGCGCAACGAGTCGGTTCGGTGACAGGAAAGCATTGCCTGTTCTCCGTTCTCACTGGTCGATCATCATCTGCCCTCCAGCGCCGTCATCCTTTTTGTGCCGTTTCTTTCTGTTCCCACCCTCTTCATCCTTCTCTTCTTCTGATATTATTTGATCTTATCGCAATTGTATGCGCCGCCTTAGTCGGACGCTGTGAGCAGGCTTCTCCTCAACTCTCCCTGGTAGGATCGTGAGTCAAAAAGGACAGACAGACAGACTTGAAACCCCGTTTGTTCTTTCCATTAAAGCCCCGCTGCTTCTCTACAGGCGACGTGGGTTAAGATCGACAATCGCTTGCTGGGCTTGTGCATGTCGATTTTGTGATTACTGAAAAGCCGTGTCGTTTTTAATTGCATCTTTGGTCACCGACACTCTTAACTTTGGTCGAGTATTTATTCTCTTGCTTGATCGAGGATCGATTCACTCGTCGAGGCAGTTGTGCTACAACTGGACAAAAAGGAGGAGGAACACGCGACTGGTTCCAGAATAAGCGTGTAAGTTTGGTACGTTGATTATACAACCCGAAAACATATTATGATCTTTCAACAATCCCGCAAGACCGCACAATCATTAGCTCAGTCTTGATGGAGTCAAGTTCCGATTGTTGTTCATGAGTTGGGACTGACTTCGTTTGTCTTTCGGGCTAGGGTGATTTAAATCAATTGAACCCGTTCTGGGCCTTCCTAGTCAAGATCGAACCCAAGAAGAACCCGGGTACACTAAACTAACTGATCCTCTGGGACGAAAAAGAAGAGTTGCGTCTATATCTGAGACACGATTCATTCCCTGCGTCCCCACTTTTCTTTGGCAAATCCCCCCCAATTTGTGTTACAGCCACTGAGTGATAAGGGTAGGGAAGAGCCCGCCCATAATAAAAACCAATGGCAACCGCTTCACCAGCACCCCGGACCCCGGGTCGGACTCAGCCTTCCGCAGAAGTCCCTCCTGTCGTCACGGACACCAAAGACCAACGCCGAACATCTTCTTTGGGTTTTCTTCGTCGCTCCAAGTCCATTGAAATTTTAGGCGAAAGACGCCCGTCCGGAAGCAAGAACGGAAAGAAGATGCCGAAGGCTCAGACGGCGGAAGAAGAAGCAGCTCGCCGCCAGCGCGAGTCAATGATGTATCAACAACCCCCGCGTCTACCTGATCTCTCGCCGGCCCCAGTTCTTGAGACCTTTGGCGGCGATGAGCGCCGGGATACTGTTGCTGCCCCTGCAAGCCAGCCCGACTCATCTCAGCAGCAAGCTGTGCCCCGCAGTACGATAAGCACGCCAGTTGCCCCGGAGCCGAACGACGCCTATGCACGAGCAGAGAGCATGACACACCGTGGACGCTATAGCTACGCAAGCAGTGCCGTTAGTACCGTCAACAACCCGCGTCGGCTGCGTCGGCGCAAGGATCCCACCCCGTACAAGTAAGTCGCATTCTTTACAGTCAATCGCTCGGTGGGGTCAAATTCTCATGTGCTTCTAGTGTCCTTGTTGTCGGCGCAAGTAACTCGGGCAAGACCTCGTTCCTCAATTTCCTCAAGAAGTCCTTGGAATTGCCGCCGCATAAGCACCCCTCCCGTTTGCCAGAGGAAGTCGCATCCCAGGCTCGCCAATCCCCCGCCAATGAGGGCTATGTTTCCCACTATCTGGAGACAGAGATCGACGGCGAACGAGTCGGTCTGACCCTCTGGGACTCTCAAGGCCTGGAGAAGAACATCGTTGACATCCAGCTACGAGGGGTGACTGGGTTCCTGGAAAGTAAATTCGAGGAAACGCTAAGTGAGGAAATGAAGGTTGTTCGGTCACCTGGAGCTCGCGACACCCATATCCATTGCACCTTTTTGATCCTGGATCCAGTCCGCTTGGACCAGAATATAGCGGCTGCAGAGCGGGCTGCGCAGGGAACCCCAAGGGCAACCGATACACCTGTCATTGGCGTTCTTGACGAGCGTCTTGATGTTCAGGTCCTGCGAACCATAGTGGGCAAGACCACCGTTGTTCCAGTTATCAGCAAGGCCGATACGATCACTACAGCCCACATGGCGTACCTCAGGAAGGCTGTCTGGGATAGCTTGAAGAAAGCCAATATTGACCCGCTGGAGATCCTTTCCTTGGACGACCAGGAAGAGTACACATCTTCTGAGAGCGAGGATGAGGACGAGGAGGCGCAAGGTCAAGATACCGAACAGGATGCGGAGGCCCGGTCTCCACGTTCGCCCTCCCAGCGCAGCCAGGACACGCGCAAGTCTTCCGGTTCCCAAGCCGTCGTTCAGCATATCCCTTTCACCATCTTGTCTCCTGATCCACATTCGCTTAGGGCTGGCGACGAGCCTGTTGGGCGCAAGTTTGCCTGGGGGTTCGCTGACCCGTACAACGCCGAGCACTGTGATTTCCTCAAGCTGAAAGAGGCCGTATTTAACGAATGGCGCTTTGACCTCCGCGAAGCGAGCCGTGTGGTCTGGTATGAGAGGTGGAGAACCAGTCGCTTGAACCGTAATGTTGCTGTGGCCAGCGCTGCACCCCAGAAGAAGCTGTATGCGGGGAGAACTGGTCCGGATGTGCGCCGGTTCCGCTAATGACTTGCAGCCGGTCATCATTCAATACCCCTTCAGCATAGCATATCTTGTTTCGCGAACCTTCTCTTCTTTCTGTTCGTGTGGACTAATTTCGACCCTTCTTGTTACCTGCTGCTCGCGGTCGCGACCGTGTACCGTCCTGGACCCGGAGGGATACTGTGTAGTTTTTGACTAATGACGTTAATGCCGACTTGTCTCATTGACTGCCCAAGCCCTCTTGCGGAGAAATGTTGGGAACCTTGGCCAAAAGTGCCATTAATATGGAAAGAAAAGATACCCCTTATCTGCCTTGAATGGGCCCCGGAACTCATGAGCGAAGCGTCTCAGCATGTTGTGTTTTACTTCTTCCGAAGTCGCCTGACTTGGACATTGTATTTTCTGTTTCCCATTTGCCTTCGAGCATAGTTGAGAGAAACACCCGATTTCCCATGTATTTGCGCAATTGTACTGAATTGAGTGACTTTTTTCTTTTCTTCTTTCTGATGAACTATCGCGAGATTATGCTTCCATTTCTACATGCCTGTGATATCAAACTTGGTGTTTTAGTGCCTCCACATCTGCACAAGCCCGATCTTGTGTGCCCAACCCAGCATTTGGCTGAGTTGGCCAAGTTACTCTTTTTCTTTTATGCTTCTTCTCCCGCACACTGTAACTTTCTGACCGTTGTTTAAATCTTATCTTCCATCTTCATGTATTCTCCATATTCTCTTCAGCCATTTACCATGATTCAAGAGCCACTATTCAGCCTTTGATATCCTTCGGTCCTTGTTGCTGGGCCATGCTTCGTGTCCCAGACATCCTATTTTGGTCCAGTGGCCAGGAACCCCGGCTGAAGCTGTTGTAGACGTTGAACCAGCTCTTAATTGCCAACGGCGTCGCCGCTTGCCTTATGCACTGCCCAGCTTTATCTGTATGAACTGTTCTGTCGATCAGTCATCTACCTATGAAGGAAGAACAGATCATCCACTCCCAGCTTAGCCCGGATCCCGGAAGGCCAGTCCTCCCGTAGTCAGGAAGCATCACAGATCGATTGCCTGATTTTCCGATGGTCAGTCATCTGAACGAATGACCAGTAGATTTCGAACCGGTGGACAGCGCCGGCCAGCTAAATTCAGCGCCATGCCAGGATGCTGCACCTTGGAAGACTTTCCTGCAGGCTCAAGATGGCGGGATCGGCCGAGCTGAGTACGAGACGACCAATGACGCTTCGTCGCGCGAGGGGTTCGTCCAGCTGCCGGCGGAGAGTATACGAGCGCTAGAGCGACGTAAAGAGGGGCGGGTTTGACTCACGGTCTGGCCGGCAGGAATGTGGATTCTGGGCCCCAAGCTTTCTCGGCCGTCATTCGTGAAACCAGTGGATATCTGTCGCACATTGATACCGCGTCCAGTAGGCCGGCGTTGCGCTCGCAAGGCTGCAGAGGACTAATACTGTACAGTGCACACAGAACACCTGTGTGCGGCTCCTTCCAGAGGGCGTTGGTTGCCTCGAATCAAGGATTGGAATGGGAAAGTACAGTAGCGATGGAATCTCTCAGTTCAGGATTGATCACTGATGCCCGGCACACCAATGACAAAGCTTCGTGCCCTTATCCTGCAGTCCCACTACACACAAACTGCTTGCTTCCCCAGCTGAACTCTACGCGATCCCGCCGATGATCAGTTGCTGTGTCTCCCTCCCACCACCACCTGCTGCTCTTGGCCGCTTCCTCCCACAAGCAGTGCTACTCTTTCTTCTTAACTTCTTCTTCCTCTTCCTCTCTTCCTTCTTTCTTGCGCTCTTCTTTTCCGCCTCCATTCACGCTTATCAAGCTAACCTACGCTCTCAACGGTAACCTGAGAACTGTGTCCTCCGTGCAAAGCTAGTTCCTAGTCTGCATCATATCTTGGCTCTTCTTGTGTGGGCGATCGGCTGTCGCACTTGTCGCACTTCACCTACCTCGTGGTGGTTCATTCCCCAGCCTTGATCCATGTCGCTCCAGGTGGACGACCCATGGTCGCGAGGCCGTTCCAAGTCACCAAGCGGCCGTATCCGCGAGCGTTCCAAGTCTCGCAATTATCGCGATCCGTCCGCCGGTGATCCCCGCAGTTATTACACCTCTGACCTCAATGATGGAAAGCTCCGTGCTCGATCACGCAGCAGAGGTGTAAGCCCCGGTGGCGCTCATCGGACTAGCTCGCGGTATGGCGCTGCTGGTCCCGATTTCCAGTCTGATGGACGGGAAGCCTACCTGCGACCCGAACTCGGGCGCGATCATTATTATCAATCCGATTCGGGAGAAAGCAAAGGGACAAGGCGTGACGCCGGGCCGCGCAATTCACGCCATCGTCTATCTGTTCACTACGAAAGTGAGTCTTCGCTCGACTCGCTGAGTTCGGACGATGATGATGCGCTTGCATACGGTGATCTTCCCGGGAGCCGCGACAACAAAACATACGGAATCTCAGGTCTCAAGCGTTATATGCCTAAGCTTGGTTCTGCACGTCGCAAGGATCCTGCTATGATGTCCGGGGCTCTTAAGAGTGATCCAGCCCACGGCAGCAGGCCGTCGCACTCTCACACACCTTCGAGAGAAGAAATCAAAGGTAGTTTCGCCAGTCCCGAGCCTTCCCCCTACGGCGGCTATCCTGCATCGTCCACAGCTCAGGCCAACTGGGCACCGGTCCCAGAGTGTGAGCGACCGGGCTTCGTGCCGCCAACTTCTCAGGCGCAAGCTCCATCCATGCCCGGGGCATTTCCGTATCCTGCAACCACTGAGCCCTCTGTACCTGCTACAACCGCAGCCGCCACTACTTCCTCCGTACGCTACGTGACTCCACAGGGCTTGCAGGAGACTTATTCATCGTTTAATGGCCGTCCACTGTCGATGCCTGGGGGCAACGCCTACACTCATGTGGCTTCGGCACATCAACGTACTGCTTCGACGGACGCGACTGTCAAGACACCCTACGCTGCCCCACCTCAGTACCAATACGCACACATTGATCCAAATGTCAAATATGCCTCTAAGAGCGCAGCAGATAGCGCAGCCACGCCGGTCGCATACTCGACAACACCCCAATTTTCCACCAAAACCGGAGCTACTGCAGTCAAACAGCCACAGGTTGCCGATGTCAAATATTCTGCTAACCCTCAATTCTCTAAGGTGCCTGCCACCAGCTCGGGCAATAGAATGGAGTATGTCGAAATAGCGCCTCGGACCACCACGCGTCCTCACAGTCGCTCCGTATCTTCTGTCAATAACCTCACGGTCGACGGCCCCGACCCCACCGGCAGGCCTGCCAGTCCAATGTTGGAGCCATACAAAGGCACGTATCAGAGCATATCACCCATGCCGTCGCCGATCGTCATTGCCCCCAGGCTGGACGGCGATATTTCCGATATGGAGCCTCTTGAGTATGATTCGGATGAAGAACTCAGGGTACATAGACGGAAGAAATCCAAGGACGATCGGGAGCGTACGAATTTGACAGTTGAACGCCCCAAGCGGGAGAGCAGCCGAAAGAGGGAGAGCAGCCGCGTGCGGTACGAACATCGTGCTTCTGGGGAACTTGAGAATATCGTGGTGAGAACCCCCAGTCGCAGCCAGAAACGCGTGTCATTCTATGATGCGGGTCCGGATGCCGCAGCGCTTCACGATGCCCTGGAACGGCCACGACATCCCGATAGAAAGGCCCTGATCCGCATACTGCCGCGTTTGAGTGCAGACGAAATCATGGAACTCCGCGACGAGTTCAAAAGACATAACAAACTGCATGGGAAGGGAATCAACATCGCCAAGCTCATCAAACTTAGGGTTGGAGTCGATGCCTTTGGCAAGGCATGCCACGCCACCGCTCTTGGTCGCTGGGAATCCGAAGGCTTCTGGGCGAACTGCTTTTACCAGTTGGGCAACTCTAGGCGTGAACTTCTCATCGAATGTCTGTTTGGTCGCACTAACCGAGAGATCCGCGAGATCAAGAAGGGCTTCTCAGATTCACGATATAAAGACAGCTTGGAGAGGTGTATGAAGGCCGAGTTGAAAGGAGACAAATTCCGCACGGCGGTGCTCCTTGTCCTAGAAGAGAGCCGACAGAGCGAGCGTGACCCAATTGATATGCGTCTGGTGGATGAAGACGTGCACAACTTGTATTCTGCACTAATGACACAACATGGGGGAGAAACGCCCATGATCTACATTATTGTGCGGCGGAGTGATTCGCATTTGCGAGAGGTCCTCCGTGCGTATGAAAAGAGATACGGCCACAATTTTGCCAAAGCCATGATCAACAAGTCCCGAAACCTGGTGGTATGTTTCCAAAGGAGTTATCATTTTCGAACATTGTCAATGAACTAACTGAGATTAGGGAGAGACTCTTGCGCATATTCTCAATGGGGCCATCAACCGGCCAATGCGCGATGCTCAGCTCCTCCACCAAGCCCTTCGCGAATCCCGTCCGGGGAAGGACCGGTCAGACCTACTGATCTCGCGCCTGGTCCGGCTGCACTGGGAACCGCGGCACCTGGAGCGCGTGAAGGATGACTTCAAGCAGCGATACGGGCAGCGCCTGGAATCGGCCATTAAGGAAGAGGTGTTGACCAGCAGCGGTGAGAGCGACTGGGCGGAGTTCTGTATCGAGTTGGCGCGCAGTTCGAAAGTCTTGGCTACTCGGGATTACTAGATCTCTCTCACTTCCACTCACACACTCACAGAGAGCAAAGAGAGGGGGTTGTCGACGCCATCTGAAATTCATGATCCACGATGGCTAGGGAGACAGTATGACGATATTTCGGCATGAGTGTTGTAACTAATGATAACGACCATGATGATCAAGAGAATGATGACGACGCAAATGATAACGATGCGGTGAATGTCCATTCGGGAGATATTGGAGGCTAGAATGTTTACCATCAAGTATCAAGAAAACCACCATATTTACTACTTTTCTTGGATCTTTTGGGGGGGTTGTTGAGGCGAGAGATGCAGCTGGACTGAAAGATTAGCGAATCCACCGTGGGTTTG